TTTTACTGCATGCTTTATGATGTGAGCAGCCCAAATGTAATTTTCTGTCATAAATGCATAAATTGAGCTCGGTAGAATCCAGAGTGAGTGAGTGCATCGCTGTGGTGGCTTCCGACCCCGGGCATAAACCAAATGGAATTATATACTATCACGACGAGGAAAACTCCAAAGGAACAAAGGTGAATATTACATACTAATAACAGTTTCTATAGCTTGATAACTGCATGCACCAAGCATTATTCTGATTATCTGGTTTAAATTCTCAACATTTGAAACATAATATTATTCATAGTTGTTTCTGCTTAAGCAGTGTCTTGAGATTTTCTCTATTTCACCAAAGGCTACTCTTTCTGAGTCTGTTAGATGTCCACAGTGCCCAGGCACAGTCCGCTGGTTTCTTCAAGTGCCAGGTTCTTGTATGTACACAATGAAAGCAATAATGGTCCCTGTCGCCTTCCTCTCCGCATTCGCAGAAAGAAATATCCCTAAGTCTGAATCTCTTGAGGTATACTGGGCATGGTCTTTAGGAGATTTCACTAAATATATATTAGAATACTTGATAAAGTCTTATAAAGAGGCAACTTATCCATGTTCAAGTTAGAATTTATTTTACATAAGTTACTTAGTGTGCAGGGTAAACATTATAACATTTCTAAATCGAAACTGACAGGAGCGTTCTGCGTACCTCAGAACATCAAGTCAAGAGCGTCAGTGTACTCCGACCCCGTTTGCTTCTCTCCTGGAACAGCCTCATGACCTGTTCTCCTTTGTCTTCATCTGAAGCGCACTTTTCAAGAAATATAGTCCAGTGAGATTGCTACAGGTCCATAACCTGTCAAGAACTGTGTTAGGCTAGCACGGTGTGTCTTTATTTCCATATTAACTTTTGGCGGTACGCGATATATCCTTCATCCTACCTCTGTCCATCTACTTTGCCAATTTTGTAGCAAACTTGTCAAAGTCGTTCACTTAATGTGAGACCAAGGAAGTTTAGTTGGTCATTCTAATAAGTCCATGCAATTGGCTGCCTGCTTGGCCTGTAGGTCAGTGGCTTCATTGCCTTGAATGTCTGTATGAGCGGGAACTCATTTTAAAGTGGGTCTTTATAAAACAGGCATTGCCAGAAGCTGTTTCTGAATTCAGTATATAAAGGGACTCCGGCTGTTTTGACCTGTGATAGTCGCTAGACTTTATGCCGAATTGCTGAGTACGGAGAATTTCTGCTGTTGACATGAGTTCGCATACCTAATTGCAGTACTGACAGCTAGAAGCTCTACTTGGTATACCTAGTTGTTCAAGCCTAGTTTTCTCTTCCAGTCGAATGTTATAACACCATTCCCCAGTCTACAGAAGGCGCTGACTGTGCTGTTCTCTTTTTTGGAACCATCTGTGAAAAGGTTATTACTGTTGCTACTGAATTGGTGGGTTGTTAAGGCTGATACCGTCGGAGAGATTAAAAGCAGTTGGATGAAAGTTTGTGCAGATGTTTTGCTCCTCGTAATCCAAGTGGTGATAACTATGACCTCAGAGTGTTGAAGTTCAACCCAGCCTGGTGACCCTTACGATAGCTGCCTCCCTTTCAACTATAAAATCTAGAGGAGGAATTCCTGCCAGTTTTTGTAGGGCTAGTGTTGATGTGGTATGGTAGGCCCTGCATACTTGAAGTAGCTGCTGTCTCTGAATAGAGAGCAGGGATTTTTTGATGTGAGAGGTAAGTTCACCACCCCAAATTGCCACTCCATAAGTTATGCAAATCGAGCTTTGTTGTCGTTCTTGGCATGCCACTGTCAACCATTGTCTTTCATGAGTAGGATTGTAATAAAATACTCATAGTTCATCATTTGTAATGATCTGATTCAGAAAAGGCTCTTTTTGGTATTAAGAAAATAAAAGAACACAAATGCATTGCTACATTTTCTGGTGTTACTTTAACCCTTTCAAGATGGTGCACCTTTGTTTAAGATGCTCCTTTGTAACATCTAATATGCTTAGTTATCATAAAATATGGCTAGATCTACCTAAGTGTGACCCTTGCAAATTCTTGCACAGGCTTAAAGATGAATACAACCAGAGAAGGGTGTAAAAGACCCTTTTATTGAATACAAAATATTTAAAAGAGGGCACGGACTTACGTGCTTACAGAACACCAACCACCTGCAGTGAGAACTTAAAAGATAATGTAACACTAAATTTAAAGATAAGGAGTTGTGCAAGACTACACAATTCAATTTAAGCTAACAGGTTAACTGAGAAACCTACATTGGCAGGATATTAACTTGGGGGCAAGAATGCATAGCCAATATTAACATTAACAGCTGGGAGAAATCTAGAAAATATGCACTCACAATAGGGAAACTATGCTGTGTCTAACCTTTTTGCTCCAGCAGTTGTTTAAATGTTCTCTTTCAATCTAACTCATTTACATCCTGGCAAAGAAATTTGAGAGGAATAAGAGAATTCATGAAAGGCTGAAAAAATAAAAGAACTATTAGTAAAAATAAATAAAATCCTATACCTTAAAAATGGCTGGGAGTCAAAAGGAATTATCCCATAAGATGGGGGTTCGCTAAATGTAACTTTAGAAGAAAAGAAATCGCAAAAAAAAAGAAAAAAAAAAAAGAAAAACTGGAAAGGGTTTAAACTTGCAGGATTCATTTCCCAGCTCTTATTGCATGCAAATGCCAGAGAATTATTTTATGATTTATGCCTGATATTTCTTCAACTTCATCCAGTATATGATGCAGATTGTAGCTTGAAGCTTCACTTGATCAGTATGAGTAGGTCATTCAGATCCTAGAGCATATTGTAAAAAAAATCACCATTTTGGAATTTTTTAACTGCTCCTGTCATGATCTTACATGTACTAATATGAAGTACACTTCATTAGAATTATTGTTGCTTCTAGAAGGGTTTAATTCCTAATATCATAATTTTGGGTGTGAATTTAGATTATTACTTAAGCTATCGTATAGGTTAAAATTAGCATTTAATCATCATTTTTTCTTTCTTTACATGAAAATAACATATTAAAAAAATTGCTTACTTCGAGAAATAATTTTTGGAAGTGCTGTTCAAATTATTTTTAAAATTTAATTGACAAACTGCATTAATAAACTTTAACATTAATTTAGGATATACAAGAAAGACTGTTTAAAAGAAGAAATAAAAATATCTTTCATGAGAAGTGGAATGACAAAATGTCCATATCAGAATCTCTGTAAATATCACTCTCTAATGCTATAAATGAATCATCACTCTCATTCAAGTCACTAATTGGCTCGTTTACCATGTGAGCATATCTTTCCTCTGATAAATAATGCTTTTTGGCTATAATAAACAAGTCACGACATTCTGAAATAAAAAAGAGTATGTGAAATATAAGGAATAAAAGCAGCGTGAAGTGTAACAGAACCTCACATAGTAACCCTAAAAGACCATACATAGTAGTAAAAAAGAAAATTTAAAAAAAAAAAAAAAAAAAAAAGGATTCAAAGGGATATCAGAAACTGGAATGTTTATATCACGTGGCAAGTTAAAGAGCCTAGTTCTGTTTTTTTTTTTTTATATTAAGCTTTCCCTCCTTTCCATAAACAGCTGTAACCAAAGTTAGGCAGAATGTAATCAAACTGAAGGTCAGGATTCTAAAACTATATTCACTTCAAAAGTAATTGACACATAGTGCCATCTAGTGGTCTTCCAGTGATGCGTTGGCGGGATGACCAAATGTGAGAGATGTTCATAAAGAATGAGATGCCTGTCTGGAAAGGGTTTAAGCTTGCAAGATTCGTTTCCCAGCTCTTATTGCATGCAAATGCCAGAGAATTATTTTATGATTTATGCCTGATATTTCTTCAACTTCATCCAGTATATGATGCAGATTGTAGCTTGAAGCTTCACTTGATCAGTATGAGTAGGTCATTCAAATCCTAGAGCATATTGTAAAAAAAATCACCATTTTGGAATTTTTTAACTGCTCCTGTCATGATCTTACATGTACTAATATGAAGTACACTTCATTAGAATTGTTTGTTGCTAACTTTGCTACACATCTTTTGCAGAATTCATAGAACAATTAATTACATATATGTTTCTCACCTGATAGGTCACTCACCATTTTGAAACCACTACTCACATCACTGCAGTTTCAGTGTAGTATGTAGACCTCACATTCCTTTGCACAAGAAATGGCCGTTTTTTTCCATATGTGTATGTGCTTTTCTGTTAGCGTTTTACAAAAAAACTGGATTACTAGAAATGACAGAACTTTTGAAGCTACTCTATGGATTTTATGTCAGATATAATTTTTTATATGCAATTCAAAAAATACAGTTATAGTTACATGGGAGATAATTGCATGAATTCATACTTTTTCCTCACTTTCATGTCCCATATATCATTTTAAAAATCTAGCTATTGTTATTTTAATGAGGGTTAGATTTATATTCTAATGTATACTGATGTGAGATTTTAAAGTCATCTTAACTCACAGACAAATCTTGATATTTAAAAATTTAGAGATCATTGCTAATATGAAATCGTATATTTCATTCAAAATCAACAGCATTTAGTGTAATTGAATCAATAAAATTTTTAATTAAAATGTCTGAAATGTTGCTTTAGTTCGTGGTTTTTAATAAACATCTTTTCATTCATATCATAAAATGTACATTTTAATCTAAAATCAATTATCTATGCAATATTAAAATTTTAAAATCCAGCTGTACTAATACCATGTTAATCAGTGATCATCTATAAGGAACTCTTTTATTTTATTTGTCATTCTTGAAAACATTATGATTAACAATGCATTGCTAGAAGTATATGTAAAATTTCAATTTTAATTTGAGTTATCAATAGTTCAGAGGGGAATTTGGGGGGGGGGAGTGGTGGAGGAAATTATTGAGAAGTCGGCTTTTATATTTTATTTTCTCAAAAATGAAAATGCAGTTTTACAGTTTTAATAAGGAAATTATTTATTTAAATGTTTTCTCACTCTTTAGGTTCTTTTGAATCAACTCATCATCCTTTTACCGCACCTTATCCTAATGATATAGACTTAATTTATACTGATCCTTGTAAGGTAAATATTTTTATATTCAAATAAGTGGATTGAAGCAATTCTAAAACTTATTCTGTCATAAAAATAATTCTTCTGATTAAAAAGATAAACTTAGTTCTTGTTTATTTACAATAAACTCAGTCCTTGTTTATATACTCACTTTCAGTTTTTATTCTTTTATAGTCCCTCCAAGATTTATTTACAAGTTGCATTTTTCAGCTTCCTTTTTTTCTCTTCCCCTTTCCCCACTAATCCAACTACTTATATTCTCACAGTGTTACATCTTCGCTATGACAAAGAATTTTAAAATTCCTTTCCTGCAAGTGTTCATGCAGCCGACTACTGCATGAACACTTGTTTTTCCATCATACTTCTTGGTAATGATAAATGAGAGCTTAATACATAAAAAAAAAACTTGTAATCTTTAAGTTTAACTAGTGTCATAATGATTTTTCCAAATAAACCTTAATAAAATACTCTATGATCCTTTGATATGTGTATCTAATTATATCTGCTTTATTCTGTGACCAACAGAAGCATTAACAAAATCACTGGATCTTTTACTCCAGCTGTTACAATTTCTTATCCTCAGATTATGTGTATATATATGCGTGTGTAAAAATATATTTTAATGCAGTTTATAAAAGTTAAATAAATTTATAAGAATATAAATTTTTCCTTATGAAATTTTCATCTATTTTTTAAGCATATAATTGCATTGTATGAAAATATAACTTGATAAACTGATCCCATTTTATGTTAATAATATTTAAAGGAAATAGAATTTTTGTCACATTACTGCTTTTAAAACGTGGTTTTATATATTCTTCAATACTGATAAGGTACATCAAGTTTTATTATTGTTGTCAAATCATCTAGAGTCGTTATATTTAACTAAAATGCATTTATTAAATCATTGTATTTTAATGAATTAGATTTTGTAGATAAAGGCAAATAAATACAACTTTTATATAACAAATATTTCAGATCTTTTATTATGATATTATATAAATTTTTCATAACATATAGAATAATCTCTGAATACTTTTTTAATTAAATTAGGAGCAAACTAGTGATTGTTGGATTTCAGTGCATTTTCTTTTTCTGACTATAGGCCAGAGCTCAGCATTATGACTTGGTGTTAAATGGCCAAGAAATAGGAGGTGGATCTATACGAATACATGATGCTTATCTTCAAAAATATATTCTTGAAGAAGTTTTGAAGGTATAAGTTTCATATGCTTAAATTTCCATTCTAGTTGATTTACCTCTAATATTTGGTAATTAATATCGTTTTTCCATATATTGAAGAAAAATCACTAAGCGTAAATACTTGAGTATTCCAAAACAGTTCAGCATTTCCACGTCTGTAGCATTACTAAGTAGCAAATGAGAATATTTACTGACAAATATGGCAAAAATTTATGGAGGTCCATGACTCATGGGGGGGGAAAGGTACAGGATTACCAAATATTACCAATAAATACAATACTAAGTCCAAAATCCCGGCGTACAATACCCAGAATGATCTAAAATCCACACCTCTGGACCATCAACAACTCCCTTTTTAGTCCAAAGGGGCAATTTGTCCAGCAGGACTATTAATTTCATTTATGTTGTTTCACTATAAATGTCAGTTCACTTTTTAAATTGTTGCCTGCAAATATTAGAGCACTACATTATATTTAAAGAAATTAAATAATGAAGAATCTGCGTAAATGTGTGTATGTTTCTCGCATTGTGATAAAACAACAGTACCTAGAGCTATCAAATTTTGAATAATGCACGTTTTCACCCAAATATGATGGGCATCCCAAATCATCAATTAACTAAAATTTCGATTGACAATTTAATGGGAATTCTCAACATGGCAATAATAGGACTTGAAGAATGGAACTTTGTTACTGAACAAGAAATTATGCCTTTCTCTAGAATTAAAGAGAAGATATTACCACAAAAAATAAAGCAACTTAAAACAACTTATAGTAAAAAAAAAATTTAATAAAGTAAACAAATAAATATTGAACTTTATAGACTAGAAGAGAAACACGCTAATGTGACAATCAAAATCGTAAAAAAACAACCTTATATTTAGCGTAGGTATAATGAAACACTCAATCGATTTCGAGGGCAGCTAAAGGTCCCTCCTCATCAGGAGAAAGAAATAAGAAGAAATTATTTCTTTCTCCTGATGAGGAGGGACCTTTAGCTGCCCTCGAAATCGATTGAGTGTTTCATTATACCTACGCTAAATATAAGGTTGTTTTTTACGATTTTGATTGAACTTTATCTTTGTAAATTTTGTCCGATCCCAGATTTTGTACTGTATTAAGTTAATAGGCAGAAGTTTTTGCCCTTAGCTTTTTGAAATTTTTAATCTAGGTATTCATATTATTATGATGAGCATATAAGAAATAGAATAAAGCACCATTATGAAGAAGCAGTGTAAACTCATGCACACTGTATTTTATTTTTCTGTGCTTGTGAGTAGAGCATACCATACAGTCAATGAGAACATAGTCTTACATTTTATTCATTTGATAGAAATTGTATGCCCACATGAAAGATTGTTTTAATTGAAAACACGGGGTAGTATTAGAAACTTGTCTTGGTATGTTATTCTCAAACACTTCCTGGTCTTATCTCCACATAATAAACCTTGGCCAGTCACATCTTGGTTTATTTTGAAGCATCATGGTTTTTACTAAAACTAGTCTAGAAAATATATAATGTACCATAGTTTTACATCTCCACATAATTATGTTTTACATTTAAAAATTTGCATATCTAGCCGTAAATTTGCCTTTTGATGATCATTAACGAGCTCAGCTTGCATTCCAATTACACGCCACAGTGACCACAAACAAACACAGCTCATATTATAAATTTCTGCCTAAATGGTAAGAAACAAGTCCCACTCATGAATTAGATTTTTGCTGCAATGTGTGCAGATGAAGTGGGCTCATTCTTTGGAACAATCTAATGATTTTTAACATTGCAAATGATTTGATATCACAAATTAGTTAATTTTTCTTGTTATAGATAGCAGTATGAATAATATGAATTTGGCAGTTTTTCCAGGAATTTTTATTGCTATATTTTGAATGTATGTTACAGCTAGAAATTTCATCAAAGTAAAGCACATTTTTTAATGAGGTTTCTGAATCTTGAAATGAAAATCCTTTATCAAATAAAAAAAAATTATTCAGATTCAGATACAGATATTTGTTTTTGAAAATTCAGAAGATGTCGTGAACAGAAAATGATTTGAATGGAGAAGATTTAGTAGTGTGAAATGTTGCATTGTCTAACATTCCATTTTTGAATGCCTATCACTCACAAACCTGGTTTTAAATATATATGTGTGTGTGTGTGTGTAATAAAAGCACAATTTTGGAAGCACTGATGTACAAACACTGAGATGTAGATGTGTAGAAATGCTTATTATGAAGATAATTGATACTTAAAACGTCCATCCATTTTGAAGAAGAAGCAGTCAAGCTGGTTTTAATTCCACCTGTTAATTAAATTCACATTTGTGGCCGCAATTTACTTGGCACTCCAATCATGTCTATTTCTAGAACAAATTTGATACTTTTGCGATAGAAGCGATCATAGCATAGATGATTGCAGCAAAGTGTCTGGCCAGGAGGAAAGCACAAGCAAAAGTGACAACTCAGCTCAGAGGAAGAAGAAAGGGAGTCAAAAAAGTTTTGATTTACAGTTATTTTGATTGGGCAAGAGATAGCTGCATTAAGCATTACATAAGATTGGATGATTCATTTGAATGATGCAGTTTAGACTTACGGCGCTATTTCTAAGACATAGAGAGGAGAAGTCCCCAAATTAAATAAAAAATAAAAGATGTTATAGGCAATTAGAAGTTTGCTTTCATATTTTTACCTTACATATATATATAAATTAATAAAGTTTTTATTATTATAATATTATATGCCTTAGCCCAAAAGGGGCATTATCCCTAATGGGGCTATTAGTCTTGAAATGGCATTCTGTGTTGAATCACTATAAACGGCATATTACTTTTCAGATTGTTGCTGCTAAATATTATCGTTCTGAATTATTTTTAAAGAAATTAAATAATTAATAATCTGCATGAATGTATGAATGTTTTTTGCAGTGTGAAAAAATAACAGAACCTAGAGCTATCAAATTTTGATTAACAAAGATCTCTATCCAAACATGTGCTCATGGAAGCCCGAATTTTGAATTTCAAATTTATTTTATTGTCTGTTTCATATTTTGTAAAACTTTAATAATTTTTTTATTAACAAACTCAACGATTTGAAAGTCAGAATAAAACATTTTTATCTCAAGCACATGAGACTGTCTGTGGAAAATTCTAAAGATATGCTATCTTTAAATATCTGATGACTTTGCTGTTGAATTGAATTTTATGTCACGTAAGTGTGAAAGTTGTAGTATTTAATAAATAATGTTAACCTGCAAAAAATTAATAATAAAAAGACAAAAAATGTTTTTGCTATCAATCTTACTAAGAAAACTGAACACTGATATGATGAACTGAGAAAAGAGTGAAAAAATATATACAAGGTGAGACCGAAAAATAAGGTGACTGATGTCGTAATAATAACTGTATATATTTACATATAAATATATCACTCTCCTTCAAAGTAGTTCCCGCTGTCTACAATGCACTTCTGACAATGTTCATACAAGTTCTGGAAACTTTTGAAAAAGTCCGCCTTTGAAACTGTGTTAAGTTCTTTGGTAACAGCAGTTTGAATGTCTGAGATGCTTAAAAATCGGTGTCCCTTTAGTGGTTCCTTGCGCAGCAAAAAGTTATGGATTTATTTTACCCTCCTTATTCCCCTGATCTTCCTCCAGCAGACTTTATAATCTTTCCACAACTGAAATTGGCACTAAAGGGACACCGATTTTCAAGCATCTCAGACATTCAAGCTGCTGTTACAAAGGAACTTAACACAGTCTCAAAGGAGGACTTTATTAAAAGTTTCCAGAACTTGTATGAACGTTGTCAGAAGTGTATTGTAGACAGTGTATTGTAGACACTTTAAAGGACAGTAAGATATATATATATATATAATACAGTTATTATTATGACATCAGTCACCTTACTTTTCGGTCTCACCTTGTATAAATGCATGCCAACACTTAACACTGTATCGGGAATTCTAAATTTTGTAATTTTGCTGTTGAATTGTATATGGCATAAATGTGAAGAAAATTATGCTTAATAATGAAGCTAAAAAGGCAAAACAAATGGTCTAGCAGGAGTGAGTGCAACAGCAGACTAAGTAGACTGCAAAGCTCAGAGAGAGTGTTAAAAAACTTAAACCCTTTTAAGCGACTGTTAAAATCTAAAACCTTCTAGATTTTTTTTTTTTATATATATATATATATATATATATATATATATATATTCTACTTCAGTTTACCATAGTCTGTGATGTAAATTTTTGATTTATAATTAAACATATCTCATTTCGCTTTCAAAATTCAGTACTAAACATATAATTGTTATTATGTTGACAGATTAAAAATGTGTGAAAATATAATGGCAAATAACAAAGTATTATTTCAATTAAATTTGTTATTTGTTATAGCCTTTTTAAATTTGTTATAGCTTTATATAAAGCCTTTTATAATTGTAACCTTCTATATAGATACATGCATACTTTTATTTTCAAAAAGGTCTCTATTTTACTTGCTCAAAGATAATGACATTTAACCAAGCATCTAGGGAGAAAATAAATGCCATTTGTTCTCACCCATGATTGACAGATATTGTATGTACAGGTAGCTCTCCTACAGCATGGCATCCTGTAACACAGTTTCGCTATAACACGATTCATAAATTACTAGAACCCTCCTACAACACGGTTTGGCTCTAACATGATAAGAACATTGCTCAAGCAATCCAAAAAATTAAACGACCTCTGCACCAAGTTTTTTCATATTGTGCAAAGTACCCATATAATCATTTAACATATAAGAATCCTTGTTTTGTAAGTTATGCTAGTTATCTTCCAAGATCCGCTACCCGTACGAACAAATGTCCTCAGATAGCAGTGAAGAAACCTCTCTATCGCAGAAGGTGAACATGAGGTCACAATGAGTGCTCTAAAACGCACAACCTGCACGTTTCGCTTCCAAAATTCGAATCCATGGCCTGAAAACAAAAGTGTCTGGTGCTGCTGGTCAGTAGTCTGTGTCAAGCCAGTG